AAGAGAAGCATTGAGGCCATCATTCTTGACTTATTGAATATCATTTTGATCTTCCCTTTTATTGGGCTTTAAAATTTTCCTTTTTCTTGTTCTTTTCAAATAATGTTCCCTCTCTCTTTATAAAATTGAGCGTAGCTTTTTACTAGTTTTACTATTAATCAAATAATTTGTCGTTCTTAATATTTTAAGTCGATTTCCAGTTATTAATATTTCTGGTTACGTGGTTTGGTTGTTTCTGTTAAGTTACGAGTTTCTATAGTTATAACAGTTTCATTAGTTTCATGTCCTCGCATTAAGTTGGATGTGATTTGAATTTTCATGTGGCTTTTCTTTTAGTCATCATTTTTTAAAGTTCATGTCGTTCTCTCATTTTTAATGGTCATTTGCAGTTGGGATCCTCTGTTTTGTTTGTTATTTTTCAAGTTATCTAAAGCTAATTGCCATTTCTTAAGGTTCTATGTGTTTTTTCTAAAGCGCTAAAAAGAATGTGTTGAATATATGCTTTGTCTCCTAGCAATTCCACTTATTATTTTTTAGATAAATTGCTTGACTAGGAACAGGACGCCCATTTTCCTCTGTGCATTAATGAAAGTTTTGTATGACAAATTTTAGAAGTGAATACTCAAATTACCAATAAATTGAAAAGGAACAACTCTTTTGAAAAGGTTTTTTTGATAGCGGTGGAAGCCATTGAGAGGCCAGTTTCATTGTTTTCCATACACTATTAATCAGCCATAACATGTCCTCTTAATACGCTTGCGGTAATATTCTCGTGCCCATCATTCTTTAAACGGGAGACCTACAAAGACAACACATCTTCTAACCGATTAACTAATTACTTTTCATCAAAATCATATGGACAAAATTAATCAATAGTGACTTAAGAAGGACCTACAAAGACAATGCCTTCTAACCAATGGACGGATTACTTTTTGTCGAAAATCACATGGACCAAATTAATAATAGCGCCTTAAGAAGGTTCCAAGGAAAGTGCACTTTATTATACAACCACCATAAAAAGTCTTGCCGTAAGAAGACCGTTGACACTACAATATTTGAGAGTGACCAGAGAAAATAAAGTGAACTAGACTTACAATTAGCTCTAGAAAATGATATTACTTTCACTGAAAAGACTTCCAACATTTTTTCTTTTTTTCTCACCACGTGATTCCTGAAAAGAGCAATTAGAGGTTTATACAATTGTTTTACCAATACATATTTATCCGTATAATTATTTTAGAAATTTCTATATTTTCTGTTTCTCTTGAGAATACTTCTTGTTGCTTTCTTCTACACGGCACACCAGTAGACAAGTCACTAAAGATGTTGCTTCAAAGTTTGTAACATCCGTGGTCATTTTCTATACTCCTAATCAACTTGGTTGTTGTCGGTTTTGAAAACCACATGGCGATATTCACTTTGAAAATAATATAATTTTTTCGTATAAAAAACTCGGTTAACGATGTAGTTTTGTTGAGAACCAAAATCGGTTGAAGATGTTATACATCAACCGCACTGTAAAAATGTTCATCAATCATTAAGGAGGGACTTGTCAAGGTCTTTTGGAGCTAGAGAAATGACTAACATTTTGTGCTTATAATGATGCTAAGAGAAAACATCCTATTAATCCATTCATAAAGCTATAGATAAAAATTTGTTCGGACATTAACAACAATTCAATCCTCAATTTTTCCCGTGTTAGTTCTAATTAATTATTTCAGTACTTATTGTGGCATCAATCGTTATGCTTAGAAAACAGAGGTTTTATCTATTATTATTACGAACATGTATTTTGATCAATTCTGTTAAGGCAGAGGAAAAATCTAAACATATGATTAATATGTTAATGCAAGAGTTCTGAACCTTCTTTTATTTGAACAATAGATTATTGAATCAAATGTACAGTTTTTAATTAAAGAAAATTAGATGAAGTTGTGAAATAATTCAAATTGTCTCAATCCAGAGAATATCTTATGTTAGTAAAAAATGATAAGACCTCTAAATTTGTTGTAAAAAATGATAATATCTTATGTAAAGAATAAGTTTGTCTCTAAATTTTCTGCCAAATAATCTGGCGATGAAATTATGGTCAATACATTATTTTCCTAGTGTCTTTCATACTATTGATAATACCTCTAAATTCGTATTAAAAATGTTCAACCCAAATGATAAGTCATGAATTATGGGATGTAAAACTATTTTAAATTGACCCGAATAAGAAAATATGTTACGGATCAACACAATATTTCAGAACGAGAAACTTAAAAGTACGACACAGCAAAAAACTAGAAATCATGGCTAAAGGGGAAAAAACACCAAAATAGAATAGAAAATAACTATAACTGCAATATCTCCATATTCAATCCTCATTACAATAGCTAATAAGGGTATTTATAACCAACTCACAAGACAACAACAAAATGACCACTAAAATTGTATGACACACTAAACAAATAACAAAACGCAAAGTTAAATTGACAAGCTAAGACAAATGACAATGCAAACTGCAATATATATATATATATACATATATATAGGCCAAGTCTCTAGTTTATTATTGGATTAAAGCGGTACTTGTATATATATTTTTTAAATATGTATATTTCATTTTTAAAACGTGTATATTTTCTCTTAAAACATGTACATTTTCTTTTATGGTAAAATATATAATATATACATGTTTTAAGAGAAAATATACACATTTTAAAAAAGAAATATACATGTTTTAAAGAAAAAATATACAAGTGCCGCTCCAGTCATGTGACCAAATCTTCCTAGACAGAGTACAATTGAGATGATAATATTGGACAGATTGTTGGTCGAACAAACAGGGAACCTACAAAGACAATTTTTCTGATGATTCATTGATTGCTTTTTCAGTTAAATTATATGGGCAAATTCGTCAGTCGTCACTCTTGAAAGAAGTTTCTTACGAAATTCCACCATAGAGAGCGATCTCTTGCCGTATTTTGCTTTGAATTTTGTCACGTATAGAGTAGGTGGTCCAACGAAGTTAATATATTCCAATGGATTTAATTTACATTTGGAAAAAGTGGACATCTTTTTAAATTTTATACTTCAATTTGGTCGTTTGATGTCTTCTTTTAGAAGTTCTAATTACAAAATGAAATTAATTAGCTGTGAAATTTCTATACGGAACATAAATAACATCCACTAATCTGTTTTAATTTATCTTTTCTTGATTATGTCAATCCGGATTCGGTCAAGTAAACCATGGACCACTTGATTACTGACAGTTAGAAATTAGAGCAAATGTAGCTCTCCATTGCATTGGAAGTGGGCAAATTCAGACAAAGAAAAAAAAAAGTCTACCCATAGAATAAGTTGCACTGATTTCTAGTAGTACTAGTTGTAAACACAGTAGACACAAACTTTTGTTCTCACTGGAAAGACTTTGACTTGTATTCATTATATATATGGACTTTTCTTTGTCCTTTGGTGGGAGTTCCCTCCAACGTAATATTAATTACAAAAATGTAATATGTTAACTATTAATCGTAACATCAACGTTAGAGAAAGTAACACTAAAAAAATTTAGTCATCTAAAGATTATATTACTTCTCTCAAATGTCGATTTTACGTTCAATAATTATCATGTTACGTTTTTATAGCTACATATTACGTTAGAAGGAAAATCCTTCCAGAGGAACCAAAAAAAAAAAAAACTATATATACTACTCGTCAAAAAGAAGAATTGGTGGCTCGAATTTGTTGATTTTTAATGACCAAATTTTCAAATTTTTTTGACGGAAATTTTTTGATTTGTTATTACAAATTTCTCCACATTACTTGCCTGATGAGTTAGGAAATAATCAAGTTATCTTTGAAAATTTAGTACATATATATGATGGCATACGTTAGGGGAAAAGATATTAATGGCGAAGAATGCATTTTGGCTACGCTGCTAATACTACTTATTGGGTATTCTGGTTCCCTGCCTGGTTGAGGAAGAATTAAGAGACCTAAAATAGAAATATATATATATATATATATATATATATATTTTGATGAAAGTATATTATATTTAAATTTAAACCATTAAAGATAAGAAATAAATCGTCAACCAATTTGATCAATTACTTTTCAGACTTTCAGAGCAGATATAGATATGTGTTGTGTTGTAGCATATAGTTTTGTATCTAGGTTGGTTCTTCTCTTCTTTATCATAAGGTTCGGTAATCACTAATGTGTTGTAGCATATAGTTTTCATAGGAGGCGATGATATAATTTTCAAGAAATTTATATTATCCGGTTTAATTGTATATAAGAATCTTTCATAATTCTTAGGACTAATATAGTACTCAATATCAAATGCCCTCTTAAAAGACATTCTCAATTCTAACACTGATTTTTATGGTATTTGTGCGTTCGGGAAGCAATAATGTTAACGACAATGAGAAAGATGAAAAATTCAACAAGTAGAAGTGGAACTACCAAAAAATTAATGGCAAAACAAAGATGACGAAGATGGGAAAAAAATAGAGGATGTTGTTGGGCTGAAGTTTTTTAAAAATGTCAGTGCGTTTTTTTTTTACGCTGCTAACATCATGCTGTGTTTGGAGATTCTTGAAATTAAGATTCTCAAACTATACTTGTACTAAAAATTATTCTGCCTTAAAGTACGGCAAGAATTTATCGATCGAATTTACTTGATCGAAAACATGAACTTAACATGAAATCTGCTACAGAATTTAGGAATACATATATTGATTCCATAAATCCTTCAGTCACATAATAATTTCTAGGAAAATCCTTGGCTTAAATAAATAAATTGTATTATTTAAAGTCTGAAATTTTCTCAGTCATTACAATTGTGACCGCTAGCATCTTTTTGAAAATTTGTATTGAAAGGTCTCCATACAACACTAGTTGGCTAATGAGTACTTGTCCTTACTAGCTGCCTATAAATAGGCATTGTCACATAGCATCTCAATGCACACAACTGTATGACACACTTGATAAATATTTCTCAGGAAATCATGGTATTCTTTCAGTTGTTGAGTCTCCTTCTCTTCTTCCTTCCTTCTCCATCAACCTCTTTACCTGCTCTGCCTTCTCGTCCTTCCCCACTGCGTCATCCCCATGAAAGCACCGCTTTGCTCCAGTTCAAGAACTCCTTTTCCAAAATCAATAACAGTCTTCGTTTTTCTGTTTGTGCTGAGCAGTTTGGAATTGGTAATCCTAATAGTACAATGTCTTGGAATATGAGCAGGGATTGCTGCACATGGAGTGGAGTCACATGTGATGAAGTCACAGGTCATGTCATTAGGCTTGAACTTGGATGCAGCGGGCTTCGAGGCATTATCCACTCCAACAACAGTTTGTTCCTTCTCACTCATCTTCAAACTCTTATTCTCTCCCAGAATTCTCTCTATGGTTCTGAAATCTCACCCCAATTTGGAAGGTTTGTTAGTTTGACTCACATCGACCTTTCTTACTCTTATTTCAGTGGCCAAGTCCCTCTAGAATTCTCTTACTTGTCTCGTTTGATTACACTTAAACTTGGTCCAAATAATGATTTGATTCTAGGGACTTTTAGTCTGAAACGAATTGTTGCAAACTTAACAAGTTTGAGAGAGTTGTCGTTGAGTGGTGTCAATATGTCTTTTGTCTCTCGTAATTCCTTTATGAATTTATCGGAGACATTGATATCTCTTGATCTTAGTGATACCGAAATGAAAGGAGAATTCCCAGCAAATATTTTTCTTCTGCCAAACCTTGAAGTGCTCACATTATCGTACAATTATAATCTCACTGGTTCATTTCCTAGATATAATTGGACGAGCCCACTTAGAAATCTGAGCCTTTCTTCCACTAGACTCCTAATAGATTTACCATATCTTACTAAGAGTTTAAAATATTTGAATCATTTGGATGCCCGCAATTGCAATTTCAGTGTATCGTTTCCTGCGTTCCTTGGTAACATAACTCAAATCATTTCCTTAGATCTCTCTTCTAACAGTTTTGGTGGTCAAATCCCATGGGATTCTCTCAATTTGGAGAAGCTGAATTCTTTAGATCTTTCATACAATAATTTTGAAGGCCAGCTCCCTCCTATTTGTAGTAATTCTACAAAGAAAATATTTCTTTGTGACTCTTCAGAAAGTGATAAGTTAGTGGGCACTCTTCCTTTGAATTTGAAATCCGTAAACTTATCTGGAAACTTACTTAATGGCACACTACCTTCTTGGCTATATTCCCTTCCGTCTTTACAAACTTTAATTCTAGATGAGAATCAATTCACTGGTGTCATTCACTTAGAACAGTTCTCAAGACTAAAGAAACTAAAAAGCCTTTCACTTTCTTTTAATAGCCTGTCAGTGGATTCTATCAACTCCATCACGTACGTTTTGCCCAATACCCTTCGGTATTTGCAATTGTCTTCATGCAATATCACTGGGTTCCCATACTCTTTAAGAAGCTTGAAAAATTTAAGATACTTGGACCTTTCCAACAATAGAATTGACGGGAGTGTTCCCCAATGGTTGTGGAACGTTGGGAAGGATTCATTATTTCAACTGGATATTTCTCACAACCTCTTAACTCATATTGGGAAAATTCCATGGAAAAGTCTATTGTATATTGACCTTAGCTCCAACAGGCTTCAAGGTCATCTTCCAATTCCACCACCTTTAACTTATCTATTTTCAATCTCAAACAATCGATTGGTTGGAGAGATACCTTCTTTCTTTTGCAACCTTACTTGGATTGAAGTCCTTGATTTGTCAAACAACAGCTTGAGTGGGAACATCCCACCATGCATTGGAAACTTTAGCAGAATCTTTGTTTTAGATTTGCGAATGAATAAGTTTTGTGGAATGATTCTTCCAACATTTGCAAAAGGAAACATCTTGAGGAATCTCAACCTCAATGGAAATCAATTGGAAGGGCCGTTGCCTCAATCTTTAGTCAATTGTGAATTGCTGGAAATTTTGGATGTTGGGAACAACAAGCTGAACGGGTCCTTTCCCCATTGGTTGGAATCTCTTCCAGAGCTTCAAGTTCTTATATTGAGATCTAACAGACTTTCTGGTCCTCTAAGTAATCCCAAGGTGAGATTTCCCTTTCAAAAGTTGAGAATCGTGGACATCTCTAACAATGATTTCACTGGTACTTTGCCAGCAAAATATTTTGAGAACTTCGCTGCCATGATTGATGCTCATTCAGAACGCTTAGAATACATGGGAGAACAAGATCTTGGTCAGTCCTATTATTCTGTGACAGTGACAATTAAAGGATTCGACCGTGAGCTCGTGAAAATACAAAAACTGTTCATAACCATTGATTTCTCAAGTAATAGCTTCACAGGAGAGATTCCAACAGTGATCGGGAAGCTTAATTCACTCAAAGGCCTTAATTTTTCTCACAACAAGCTATCCGGTCATATTCCACCATCCTTGGGAAACTTGAGCAACCTTGAATGGTTAGACCTCTCATCAAACGAGCTTTTTGGAAACATCCCAATGCAACTAGCTACAGGTTTGTATCAACTTGCGAGATTAAATCTTTCCGACAACAAATTAGAGGGACCAATACCTCGCGGAAGGCAATTCAATACGTTCAGCAATGATTCATGCAGCGAAAACGTGGGATTATGTGGATTTCCTCTGTCTAAATCATGCAGCAATGATGGTGCACAACACGATCAAGGTGGTGATGATGACGGAGATCACAACAATGGAATGATTGATTGGAAGGTGGTGATGATGGGATATGGAAGCGGAATGGTGATCGGAATATCAGTCGGATACATGGTCCTTTTCAGCAGAAGCTTCAATTATTGGTTTCACAAAAGATTTGGAGGGGGACGACGTCGCAAAACCAGTGCTCGCTTAAGACGGAGGAGAAGATCAAACTAGCAAGTAAAGAAAAACACAGTCGGGCCATGAGAAATAAAGTAAGTTTGTATTGAACGTTTGCCGTTATAAATTCTTGTTTGCTTTTATGAACCAAACTTTATCAGCTAACTAATTTTTTATTTTATTTTTATTTTTTTGCATTTCTGGGTTTTGAAGTTGTTCAGGAAGATGCTGAAAGTGTTGTTATTCAAATTGGCATACCGAGGCATATATGGATCTGATGGCACGACTATCTTCTTTCATATATATCTTTACTAGCTATATGAATAATTTATTTTCTTTTGTTTTCTGCACTAGCTAGTATATTTTGAAAATTGTAATCATAAATGGGGATTCGGTCATATCCAAATGTTTTGGAGCTTGTATATTATGTACTTGTTCAATGGAATTGTCAAGTATGCTTTTGTTTAAGTTGTAACATACATCTAATTGTACAGAGGAAATTTATACCATGAATTCTCTTGGAATAATTTATCCACATCAGCATTAACAAACGTGGAACTAATTTGTTCCGTCCATGAAATTTTTTGGTGATATTTTTAGGCACCAAAAAAAAAAAAAAATGCTTAGGTAATTCAATTCAACTACATATATGTGAAGGTAAAATTATTTTTGCTTAGGTAATTCAATTCAAGAAAGATTTGCAATGTGTAGGTAATCCTTTGGTTTCTTGTAGTAGCTAGTATATTTGGAAAATTGTAATCGTTATTGAGGATTCAATAATATCCTAGTGTTGTGGAGTTTGTATTTTACATTCTTGTTTAATGGAAGTATCAAATTATGGTTTTGTTTAACGTATAACATACCTCTATTTATGCAGAGGAAAATTATGTATAGTGAATTACCAAAAATTGGAATCAATTGGAAGAGCCAATTTCGTACTAAAATAGTTGTTTATATATATCATCAGATTGAAGACTCGCAGCCAAATAATTAAGCAGCCTTTGTCACCAGATCTGAAAGACAAAAAAAACTATATATATTTACCTTTATTTATATACTCTGAAAACTATTTGTACAAGTTCTAAATTAATATGTCGGGCATAAGGCAACATAATCCGAGCGTTTAATTGCTTGAAGCCTTTTAAAATACGAGAACAAGCTTCCAAGATGATGGGCTCAATTTTTTTTTTTTTTCAAATCTATAAATTCTTTATCTCTAATGTTCATATAATTCCTACTTTGCTAGCATAGTGCTCAGATGTGTAACCCCATATCCAAATTCAGGTTGTAATTTTTTTTTCACAAAATAAAAGAATTAATTTTTTTTATTGAGCGTATAAAAAAAGAATATTTCAAGAAATAACTTGTTTGCTTTTTGTTTTTGGAAACTACCAGCATTTTTCATTTTATATTTTTGTAATTTTTTGTTGTCTCCCATTTTCAAGGCTTCTGCTATTTTTTTTAGAGGATTATCATTTGCGATTTCTCAATTGTTTATCTGATTCTTGTCATTTCACAGAGCTTTGAGATATTTTATCAAGTTGTTTTTTTTTTTGTCATACGTTGAATGTTATTGGTTAAATCTTTACATTTCTATGGGCTGTCTTTTGAATTTTTTGCACGTTATATTGTTGATTTTCTTTTGTATTTGTGCAGTAAATCGTTTAACAATTTATTGTCATTTTGTCGTTTATGCGCTGTTCTATTTTTCAGAATTGGGGGTGGAAAATTCAAAATTTATGATATTATCGTATTCCAGGTATTTTCTTTTTTTTTTCTTTTTTTTTTCATACTGTTCTCATTCAAACTCCAAATAATTTGGATTTTTTTTAATATGAAATATTTTCATAAATATCCTATAAATATGGAACTTTTTTTAAAGTGCTGCTGATTTTTCAAAATTATTCAAAACATGTCCTATAAAAAACCATTCAAAATGCTCCCAACATCCACTTACATCTATAATTTTTCAAAAATTGACTGATTGAAATACAATTATTATGGGACAAATTATTTTTCACAACTATATTTTTACCCCTCAAATTTGTAAAACTATAGTCTAATCAAATTTTTAATTTTTTTTTGAAAGACCATCCTATAACATAACACCACACATGGTATGGGATTAAACAAAAACTAACTATCATTTCCTATAGAACCCAATCCCCTAAGACTATCCTAAGCAATGTTGTCCTGTCTTGTGAACCAAACGTGTCGCTCGCGTATAGTATTATCTGATTGATTGGTTGATGTTTTTGGTGGGAAATTACTTGGAGAAAATTATTAAAGTGAAAGAGTCAAAGTCTTTCAAGTAAGTCAAAAAGATATTTATTGTATGACCTGTTATAAGTCACCGTAAGTTGAGTTTTGTGTTGGACATTTGAGTTTTCATTGTCTTCACTAATAGCTTTTCTGTTAGCTCTCTATCATGTTGTGCTAAGTTGCATTTCACCTTATCTTCTCTGGCTATTGTAGGTCTTCTCACAGCAAGACATTTTATGGACTCTATATTTAGTGTACTTTCATTGTCACCTTCTTTCAAGAGTCACTATTTATGAATTTGGCTCATATGATTTATCTGAAAACTAATCAATCAATTGGCCAGAAGGTGTTGTCTTTGTAGGTCTCCCTATTTAAAAACAAAAATAATTTTCATCTCGATGAAGATAAAACCTCATCAATTACAAAAATAACAGGTCCCGTTAGCTTAGGTCTAATGTACCACCTAAGTCTGACCCACCTTACTTTAATAGTAAGGCTTTAACGGCCCCGTCGAGATAAATAAGAACGCTCGTTTAAAAATGATAGTCATAAACATGTCTAGAAAACTTCTATTATAAAACTACTACCTCGGAGTCACAACAAACAGATCAAGAAAACTTTTGATGGCAGTAAGAAAAACCATGAAAATAGCCTCCACTGCCATTAATAGACTTTTCAAATGAGTTGTCGCACAAGACTTTTTGTCTCACTAAAAAGGCAAATGTAGCTCTCCATTGAATAGGAAGTGGGCAAATTCAGACGAAGGAAAAAAAAAAGTCTAGCCCATAGAATAAATTGGAATGATTTCTAGTCGTACTAGTTGTAAACATGGAAGACATGAACTTTTTGTCTCACTAAAAAGACGTTGACTTGTATTCATTATATATATATATATAATATAGACTTTTCTTCGTCCCTCGGTGGGAGGTCTCTCCAACGTAACACTAGTTACGAAAATGTAATATGTTAATTATTAACGTAACATCAATGTTAGAGAAAAGTAACACCAAAAAAATTTAGTCATCTAAAGATTATGTTACTTCTTTGCAATGTCGATGTTACGTTCAATAATTGTCATGTTACGTTTTTATAACTATATATTACGTTAGCGGGACCGTCCTTCCGGAGGGACTGAAAAAAAAAAACCTATATATATACTATTCGTCAAAAAAATAAAAAAGAATTGGTGGCTTGAATTTGTTGTTTTTTAATGACCAAATTTTCCATTTTTTTGACGGAAATTTTTTGTTTTGTTATTACAACTTTCTCCATACTACGTGCCTGATGAGTTAGGAGATAATCAAGTTATCTTTGGAAATTTAGTACATACATATGATGGCATACGTTAGGGAAAAGATATTAATAGCGAAGAATGTATTTTTGCTATTAATACTCGTACTTATTTGGTATTCTACTTCCCTGCTTAGCTGAGGAAGAATTACGAGACCTCAAATAGAAATATATATATTGATGAAAGTGTATTATATTTAAAGTTTACACAATGAAAGATAAGAAATAAACGTCAACCAATTTGATCAATTATTTTTCAGACTTTCTGAGCAGATATAGACTTGTGTTGTGGTTTAGCATATAGTTTTGTATCTCGGTTGGTCCTTCTTTTCTTTATCATAAGGTTCGGTGATCACTAATGATTAATTAATAATAATCATCTATATTAATATTTATTATTTATTAATTAAATAAAAACCTATTTCAACGACAAAATCTATTATTGTTTTGTTTTTGTTAGATCTAATGTTACGTCTAGTGTTCCAGATAATGTTGGAACACTGTCTGGAACACTGCTTAATTAATTAAGATCCGGATTAATTGTGTTCAGTTGCTCGAGTAGAAAGTAAAGAAACACACAATATGATATCGCAGTTCGGTGCGCACACCTACATCTGCGGGGCCATGCCCAGACAATAAACAGTTCACCATGTTCCAAAAATTACAGATACTAGACGGACTTATTCACTCAAGGACTCCCTCCTAGACAATGATGCCGCTGTGACGAATCTCCACAGTGATTGTTTAGCGTGCACCACACGTCTTCTATTCACCTGACGAACTCCCTTCGACCGGCAGAGGTTCCTCCCTAAAGCAACAAATCCATCTCCCGAATGACGATCTCAATAACTCATAAAAACTCACAAACGTCTCTCTGAATATTTTCTCAGTAATAAGCTCTCAAATTCACAGACTTTTCCTCTGGAGATATTCTGTTAAATCCGTATCACATATGTTCTGAACAAAAGCCTTTAAATAATGTCATGAGAATCTCATTCAAATCCACTCTTGATAAGTTTTCTATTATCTCCATGATTCTCTCTCCTAGATAGGCTCCAAAATATCTTCATGTTATCTTCACAATCTCCAATTCGAATTATGCAGCAAACTTCCAAATCTGAATTAGTTATCCACATTACAAGTTAACACTTGATCTCCACGTGTTCTTCATTAAACACAGAGAACTTCCTCTTATCCAAATCACACGAACACATCCAAATCTCAAATAACCAAACCAATTATTCCACTTTTAAAACACAACACCGTCATGTATATATTACCATGTATATATATATATATATATATATATATATATATATAGCTCTTGCTTTTGAAGTTCAAATATCAAACGGATTGCACATTTCTTTGCAAGACACGTAGCTCTATTGACTCCATCTTCCATATGATTCCAAGAACACTTTTCAATTTCAAATTCAAATTGTACATCAAATTCAACAAATCTGCCAACTTTAATTCCCATGAGTTGGATAAGCTGTAAATATCAAAACCATATCTCTTTCTCTTCCACGTTTATAGCCTTCTCAATTCCGGATAATCATCAGTTCAAATTCTCGACATAATCTTTTTTTTCCTTATCTCTTTCTAGAATCCCATTTAAATTAAAATAACCAATGCAATATCTTCCTTTGACCAAGGCGTTATCCTTATACATCTATTTATGCAGAGGAAAATTATGTATAGCGAATTACCAGAATAAGCTTCAAAGATGATGGGCTTAATTTTATATTTTTAAAAGTCCATAAATTCGTTATCTCTTATGTCCATATAATTCCTACTTTTCTAGCATAGTGCTCAGAAATTAAGAATTGTAACCCCATATCCAACTTCAGGTTGTAATTTTTTTCACAAAATAAAAGAATTAATTTTTTATATTGAGCATATAAAAAAAGAATATTTCAGGAAATAACTTGTTTGCCTTTTGTTTTTGGAAACCACCAGCATTTTTCATTTTGTATTTTTACATTTTTTAGTTGTATGTCGTTTTCATGGCTTCTTCTCATTTTTTAGAGGATTATCATTTGTGATTTCTCAATTGTTTATCTAGTTCTTGTCATTTTACAGAATTTTGAAATCGTTTATCAAGTTATTGTTTTCTTAGTCATACGTTGAATGTTGTTCGTTAAATCTTTATATTTCTATGGATTGTCCTATGAATTTTTTTCACGTTATATTGTCAATTTTCTTTTGTATTTGTGCTTTATTGTCGTTTTGTTGTTAATGTGCTGTTCTATTTTTCAGAATTAGGGATGAGAAATTCAAAATTTATGATATTGTTGTATTGCAAGTATTTTCGTTTTTTGGTTTCATATTGTTCTCATTCAAACTCCGAAAAAATTGGATTTTTTTTTAATATATGAAATATTTTCATAAATATCCTATAAATATGGACCTTTTTTCAAAGTGCTCCTGATTTTTTAAAATTGTTCAAAACACCCCCGGCATATGGAAAGCCATTCAAAATGCTCCCCACGTAAACTTATGTCAATAATTTTTCAAAAACTGACGGATAGAAATGCAGCTATTATGGGACAAATTATTTTTGACAACTATATTTTTACCCCTCAAATTTGTAAAACTATAATATGACCAAATTTTAAATTTTTTTAAAAAGACCATCCTATAACATAACATCACACATGGCATCGGATTAAACAAAAACTAAACTCTATCCTTTCCTATACAACCTAATCCCCTAAGACTATCCTAAATAATGTTGTCCTGTCTTGTGAACCAAATGGGTCGCTGGCGTATAGCATTATCTGATTGATTGATTGAAGTTTTTGGTGGGAAATTACTTGGAGAAAATTGTTAAGTGAAAAAGTCAAAGTCTTTCAAGTAAAACGAAAAGATATTTATTGTATGTCCTGTTATAAGTCACCGTAACTTGAGTTTTGGGTTGGACATTTGAGTTTCCATTGTCTTCACTAATAACTTTTCTGTTAGCTGTCTATCAAGCTGTGCTAAGTTGCATTTGACCTTATCTTCTCTGGCTATTGTAGATCTTCTCACGACAAGACATTTTATGGACTCTATCTTTAGTGCACTTTCAATTGTCATCTTCTTTCAAGAATCACTATTGATGAATTTGGTCCCTATGATTTATCTGAAAACTAGTCAATCAGTCATCCAGAAGGTGTTGTCTTTGTAGGTCTCCCTGCTTAAAAACAAAAATAATTTTCATTCCGATGAAGATAAAACCTCATCAATCACGAAAATAGTGAGTCCCACTAGGATTGGTCTAACCTACTCACCTAACAGAACTCACCTCATTTTAATAGTAGGGTTTTAATGGCCCCATCGAGATAAATAAGAGCGCTCGTTTAAAAATGATGGTCATAGACATGTCCAGGAAACTTCTATCATAAAACTACTATCACGAAATCGTAACAAACAGATCAAGAAAACTTTTGATGGCAGTAGGAAAAACCATGAAAATGGCCTCCACTGCCATTAAATGACTTTTCAAATGAGTTGTCGCACAAAACTTCCATTAATGCACAGAGGAAAATGCATGTAGTGTTCCTAGTCAAGCAATTAATTATTTTGACAAAGAAAGATTCCAAAGACATACAGAAAGCATAATTAGACCTTGATGACCAAGTCATCTAGACAAAGAGAAAACTTACATCTTTTTCATGGAGAAAAAAAAAAGACTAATTGCAACGAGAAAATAAGCATATATATTTATGAGGTAGAGTTAGAGTAAATTGCTTCACATCACAGTATTATTCATAGCTTATCTCCTGGGTTGGACGTTTTTAGCACGAGTTTGGAGGTCTCATCGCCAACAATTCTATCAAGACTCCAGGCGAGTCGTGGACTTCCATTTTCTACATCTCGAGACTACACCCAATTATTCATTGTGACATTAGTGCTAGGAGATTAAGCATATTCATTGTGCCCGTCCAACAAGAAAATAAGCATATTCATTGTATTCTATAGGTACTTGAGTTGGAGCAAAGGAGGGCTTACAAGAACGTAACAGACAAGGAGAGGATAAAGGGTCCTATAGGACAAAAAAAAAAAAAAAAATACTTTTGCTTTTTTAAGGGAAAAATTAGCTAAATGACCTTTTTTAGCACCTTTGTCATAAATCGCTGTTTTTTCTTAATTTTACGAAAATGGGCAACCTTTTTTTATTTTATGAAAATGGCCGTTTTTAACGAGTGAATGAGTGATTGACCCATAATTTATCAATGGTTTATTAAAAAATAAATTTATAATTTGTTGATTAAAATGGATTAATTATTAATTAATTTTAGTTAATTATTAACTAAAATTAATTAATAATAAGAAATCATCGAGTTAATCAGTGATAAAATAAACTCAATCAGTGATGGACTTAAGTCAATCATGATTGATCTTTAAATAAATCAACAATAGACTGCTAAGTCAATCAGTACTTGACCAATAAATTAATAAAAAAGGTCATTTTTGTAATTACAAAACTTTAGATATTTATGAAAAAGTTCCTTCAAAAAGTCATTTGTGCTAAAATCCCTTTTTTAAAAGCCCACATTACAACAAGAAGAAATGACAGAAAACAAGCACACAACACCATAAATACGACATTTAATAAGTAAAATGACAAGCCACATGAAAAACTCTTGACGACTACTGAAAACGACATTGACCTGAGAAACAAAATAAACATGAAAACAAAACAAAAAGAAACACTCGAGTATGTTACATAATCCATTTTCTTCCTGTTAGAGAAAATCTAGACTAAACCAAAATAATCACAACTCCGAAACTGATCCCTTTTGAGAAAATTACGTCGTTGACTGAGGGAATATGCCTGCAATGAGGCCATACGTCTCACCTTAATGATGTGTAGATATCAGTCTTTTAATTAAATATTCACATATTAGACCCATCTTATTATTAATGGAATGCATTAGAATGTAAAATTATTGTCAGCTAGCTCGATCTCATTGCAGAATAACTTAAGCTTTTTGAGAGAATCTGTAAACTAACGACATCATTATCAAATAATATTCATTTGGTGAATCTTTCAGGAAAATAGAGTTGGAATATGTTGATCTATATTTAGTACATTGGCCAGTGAGTGTGAAACCAGGGGAATATGAATTGCCACACATTGGCCAAAATTCCAACCGCCGCTAATCAAGTAATTAATTTATATATATTCCTTTTAATTTTCATCTGAATTTCCTAATATTGTACGTACTTATAATTTGTTACGATTTATTTGCGACAAGTAAATTGTGATTAATTTGTGGTTTGTGATTTGGAAGATGGAGATGAACCCACTTTGGCAACAAAAGAAGCTGAGAGAACTGTTCAAAGAAAAGGGTATAATTGTCACAGTTTATTCTCCTTTGGTAGCAGAAGGAACCCTATGGGGTAAAAGCTGGGTAATGGACTGCGAGGTTCTACACGAAACTGCGAATCAGAAAGGAAAAACCGTTGCTCAGGTATTAGAAAAAAAGTCTAGGAAATTAATTAGGAAACTCTATGTTAAATATTTAGAGGATGTCTTAATTTACTGCGAATCAAAAAGGAAAAAGTTTTTACTACAGTGTTTTCTATCATAAAATGTAAAATTCAACTTTTTCTACTATTATTTTTTCTCACATGAATTTACTTTTTAAATCAAGTTCTCTACTTGAACAAGTCAAACAAAGGAGGGCTCACATTATTAGAAACAAACTCATTTGAATTTGAAGCATATTTTTGTAAACTAACTTGGCTAGTTCAGATTATTAGAATAATATATATAATATGTAGTGAATTTAATTAATTACTTATCTAACAACTAAACTAATGGTTGATAATTGATATATGAATTAGGTTTGTCTGAGATGGGTGTACGAGCAAGGAGTGAGTTTGCTTGTGAAGAGCTTCAACAAGGAAAGGATGAACGAGAACTTGGACATATTTGATTGGAAACTAAGCGCAGAAGAGTCCGCAAAGATGGTCCTTACAAATTGCTCCAGAGTTTTTGGGATGGCGAGATCTGATCATTATACAAGTTTCACTAGTTCTTAATCCCAACATTATATATATATATATATATATGTATTTGTGTGTGTATGTGGAGTGTAATGTTCGTGAGAGCACGTGTTTCAGTTTTTTTGACTCGTACTTTTCCTGCCAATGTTTCTCTGTATGGTGTTGTTCTGTTTGGATATTATAAATAACTTATATGACTATACATTGTAAGTAAGAGAACTTTTAGTAAAAAAAAAAAAAAAAGATAAATTACACGAATGGTCCCCAAACTCTTTAAAAGGTGACAGTTTTGTCCCTAATTTTTTTTTGACGAAACGAACCACCAACTATTTAAAAGGGTGTAATGTAGTCATTTTCGTCAAATGTCGTCCAAAAACTAATGGCATAATAACCTAAAAGGGTGACATTATGGTCACTTCTTTATGAGGTAATTTTTAGTCCCAATCGACTTTAATAGGTTAAGATTTGGTACCAATTTTTCGACGAAATTAAACAGAAAGGACGACATTGCACCCTTTTAAATAGTGTGGGGCTCGTTTCATCAAGAAAAAGAAGTTTGTGGACCAACTATCAGCTTTTAAAGAGTTTGATGACCATTCGTGTCAATTACCTAAAAAAAACCATTTTTTTTTAGTCATACTGTTTCATAAATACTCCACCTACAATTGTTTAAATGTAAAACCCACTAAATAAATGTAAAACACACAAGGAAACGAAAACTTAATTCTATAAAGATGATATAAAAAAGCATCTAAATGTTAAGTTTTTATTGCACGGGTATACCACGTAGACATGATGATGTAGTATAGCCGGTCCTCTGAATAAATCCTCATATAAAGGCCTCCTAAACTGCAATTAATGTGACTGTGCATTGAATGTGTTTGTGTACATACCTATATTATGGGTTTGATAGATACATGATCTGACTAAAAGTATATGTTACGATTACAAAATCTATGACATTTTGTATGATTGATAAGAGAAGTATTGTGGGACATTCCTAAGGCCATCATTCTTGACCAAAATATATATATATATATATATATATATATATTGTTAAATATCATTTTAATCTTCTCTTTTATTGGCCTTAAAATTTTCCTTTTTCTTGTTCTTTTCAAATAATGTTCCCTCTCTTTTTATAAAGCTGAGCGTAGCTTTTTACTAGGCTTACAATTAATCAGATAATTTGTCATTTTTAAATATTTTATGTCGTTTTTCAGCTGTTGATATTTCTTGTTGCGTAGTTTGGTTGTTTCTGTTAAGTTACGAACAAAGTCCCACATTGTCAAAAAATGGAACTACGATGGGTTTCTAAAAGAGTGGGCTACTTCACTCATTAAGTTAATCTTTTAAGTTAAAACGTTCCCAATCTCTTATGATGGAACCCATAGTTATAGCAGTTTAATTAGTTTCACGTCCTCGCATTAAGTTGGGTGTGATTTGAATTTTCATGTCGTTTTTCTTTTACTCATCATTTTTTATAGTTCATGTCGTTCTCTCATTTTTAATGCTCATTTGCAATAGGGACAGATGCTTCTCAAAGCGCTATTCTACTACAAATACAATGGAAATCGTTGTATATGCATATAAGTTAATTTAATGTTCCCCAAATATCAAGTCAGACTGAAAAACAAGTTACACTTTTTTTTTCCGTCGCTTTTTTTTAGGGTATTTGAAATCTTCTCATAATTTAACAAGGATTTAATCATGGAAAATTCTAATGGAAAGGATTTCTTTCCTTTTGCCGGTGATTTTTCACAGATGTTTGTTCAATAGAACAATCACACACCAAGGCATACGTGTTAATTGATTACTATTTTCAATCTATCAAGTAAGTGGGAAAAAAATATCAGCCAAAATTTGAAGCTTCTTTCATTTGCATCAAGATAGTTTTGAATTAAATATATAGAATCTTGATTAGCTTTACTTGGAACCAACTGAGCTGTAGACAGAGAGGACTTTCCTGGAGTTTTCATACTCATATTTATGTGATCAGACTTCTTAATTCTTATTAAAAACGATCAACCAAGATGATAAGTCAATAATGGTTTTCTGTCGTTTCTTCTTGTTGTAACGTTTTAGATTATTGTCGTTTTATAAGTTATCGTTTCTTTCTAGACACTTCACAGGTTCTGGGCCATTTTTCAGGTTATTTGTTCCTTTAAGCTTTTTGTCATTTTGTACTCTTCATATGGAAAATCGTCATGAGATTGAGATCATTAATAGACGTATCATTTTCATGGCGTTTCATTGAGTTGCATGGGATTCTAATTTCTCTTGTCGTTTTCATTTATTCATTGTTTTAAAGTTTTATGTCGTTCTCTTCTAGGTTTTTTTTTTTTTTTTTTTTTTTTTTTTTTTTTTTTTTTTTTTTTTTAGTGATGATCGTTTCTTCAAGCTGGCTGTTATTTTTTTATTTATTTTCGCGTACATTATAGTATGATCATCTACCCTCTGTTTTTTTTGTTATTTTTCAACTTATCTAAAGCTAATTGTCATTTGTTAAGATTTATGTGTGTTTTTCTAAAGTGCTAAAAAGAACTTGGTATTTAAAACAAAAAAAATGTTCATTGTATTGAGAGCTCTACATTTATGGATGGAATCAACGAAGAACTAGCCATGAATAATAAGTTATCCACCAAAACATAAAGATTCATTGAATTTATGCTTTGTCTCCTAGCAATTATACTTATACTTATTATTATTATTATTATTATTATTGTTATATAGGAAAATGTACGCTAACACGTGGGACGACGATAGCACTCTACATGACTCTATGTTTGCCACAACAGATAGAAGTCGACGTCTTGGCCTTATTTTCCTTCTGAAGGATGGGAAGGCCAATCACATTGGATGTAATCTTTGGGCTATAAAAGGGGTAGTCCCAAAGGAGAATGGGGATCCAGACAGAATACCAAAGGGGTAATCCGGCGTAATTCTGTTGACGAAATTCTACCGTCAACAATTGGCGACTCCACTGGGGAACGAACCCAGAATCTCTGGTCCGCGTGGCTAACCCCATTCCTCCAAGGAGAGAAACTGGTGCTTCAAATCCAAACAACCAAATGGAGGAAAATACCACGCATCCAACCAATTAGGGGAATCAACCCCCGGCGAGGAATGAAGCTCGACCTATAGGCACGCCACAGCTTGACCCGGTACAGATGCAGCCCCGGCTGGACAATCTGACCGACTTGGTTCGAGGACTAACGACCGTTGTCGGACAATTGGAAGGAAGAAATTCTATGCCTCCCTTGGAAGATGCCCCGAGACCACCAGGAGCTGCCATGGCTGGGAACCAAGATGCTGGTGACCGCCAGGGTGCCCCGAAAGCGTTTAGGGACAGTGAAAACGCTAGGGGAGATAACCTGAGACCTCGACCGTCTAAGTCCCTTGGTAGCCGACAAAGGGCCTCCAGGCGATGAACCCAGGAGAGAAAAGCACTCGCCGGCCTAGAAATTCTTGAGGCGCCACCTACAGCCACCATAAAAGGTCTTACCGTGAGATGATATTTGATGCTACAATATTTGAGAGTGACCATAAAGGATAAAGTGAACTAGATTTATAATTAGCTCTAGAAAATAATATTACTTTAACTGAAATGACTTCCAACATTTTTTTTTCCTCACCACGTGATTCCTAAAAAGGGCAATTAGAAGTTTATATAATTGTTTCACCAATACACATTTATCCGTATAATTATTTTAAAAATTTCAAATTTCTATATTTTCTGTTTCTCTTGAGAATACTTTTTGTTGCTCTCTTTTACATGGCACACCAGTAGACAAGTCACTAAATGTTGTTGTGATACTTATGATACTTATCCCCTGCACGTGATACTTATCCGTAAAAATATTTTTTATGACTGAAAAGACTGACTCTTT